GACCCTTCCCATAGAGTGATTTCTCCATTCTCTGGTGTTTGCAGTGGATGTGCTCCCACTATGAGCATGCTATCATCACTGCCTTTCCACCTCCTCTCCACTCCTCGCTTTCACTCGTTTAGTATCCAATCACACACACTACAGCTCTGGCTGAGGATGTTTTGTGTCTTTTGTAGTTCAACCTTCTTTTATATTCTTCAGTCATATCTTTTTCCCATGTGGGAGTTATCACTCACTATTGTTTGGCTTCCTCCTGCACTGTTTACCATAGGGGTGGATTCATCTTCTTGGACCACATTTCAATAATAGGTAGCTGGGGAGGAGGCTTGGTTGGATATTTTCTCCATACGTCCTCCCTTTTCTTCCAAAGGTCGTTTGTTTGGATCTAGATAATCTCCTTTGCTCTTTACGGTCTGTTCATTATAATCTAACTTGCATTGCCATGGGATTCTTCTTCTTTTAGCCACTTATCTCTTTCCACTTCACCTGTGTTGTTAAACACCCCATCAGATTAATTTCTTTTGCTATGGGTGATGACCCTTTCTTATGGTGATCATATTTCCAAAGTGAAAAACTGGGACAGTCCAGCCCTTGCCCCTAATTTCTAAATGGTTATTACAAATTTGAAATAATTTAACTCTTATTTGATTTAATTTAAATTTATTGAACTGTTCCACAATATTTCCAAATATATTAACATTGGCATTGTTTTTGAAATAATTTCAACTACATTTTTTGGTGATAGACACAAAACAAATAAGCAAAAATAGTCAAGTTATACATCCAAGAAATGTTTAATTATTCACTTTATCCAATTCATCTTAAAGTAGGCTATTTTATACTTGTATATATTTAATAATTATAAAATATACAAACATACTACTTTTAAGTTTTAGCATTACTTTGAAACATTTTGCACATATATATTTGTGAAGAATGAATTGAAAGTAGAAGTTGTTTTTTCATTAAATAGTCATAAAATTCAGTATGAGACTGTGTAAAGAATGTTTTGATGATGAGTGCTGCCTTAACTGTCTCAGACCAGTGTAGATCTCACCATGCACAGATGGAACTCTCGAGAGAGTTTGTTGGCAGGAGAATGTGTTACAACAATGAGCAAGTCAAGTATGCATATTACATTTGTGATTTGACGTTACTGACAGTTTGATGTTTTTATCATGAAATCGGGGCATTTTGTGCATCCTTAGAACTTTTCTTGGGACAAACTACCAAAAAACTAGACATCTGGTCACCCTACCCTTTCTTATTTTTAATTTCTCATCCCATCATGTTTGTTGTCTCATGACTTTTCTTGCCTCTAACCATCAGTGCCCCCCTCCCCCGTATGAGATTTTGTAAGTAGGGATGTGTCTCATTACTTTCATGACAGGGAGGTTTCACTTACCTAAGCTTTCATGTCTGTCTATTTGCCATTTCCCACTCCTCACAGTGGCTTAGGTGGTGAGTTGTTTACTTTTCCCCTTTCTTTTTCAGGTCTTACAACCACGTTATCGAACATTATACATTATGGAGATTTTGGAACCTACCAAATGCCTGGTGTTGTCACACAGGGAATGCTTGCCCAAAATCTGCATCAAGCAGGGGAGTACAGAAATCACATTTGCCCTTGCTCAGTACCCATTGTTGAGTATGGTTTTCCACGAGTCTGTTCCGGTTGTGTCTATTCATAAATATCTTTCAGGCCATTCTGCACTTGACAAAAACAAAATGACTGCACCAGGTGTATGCTTGCAATCACACATGGCCTTACATCTGCTGTCTTTAATTGTGATAACTCATTGCACTGTCTGTCAGTGTAGTACCTAATTTCATAAGATTGTAGCATTTCTCGAATTAACATTTTCCTTACCTGAAAATGTATTTCATATAGATACTCACTTCCCTGCATTACCTTCTTCCCCACTTTCAGTGCATTCAATTTGCCCCATCAAGAATGTGCCTGTGTTCATGTGTTAGCACTCGTGCAGATTACTGTGCAAGTTGGATGTGTTGTCCTCTTATGATGATTACATTATAGGCTGGCACAATATATGTTGATATATAGGAGTGGGAGCTTTCTTCAAGGCTTGTGGCATATACAGGAAATTACATGTAAGTGCATACAAAGTGATAGCTGTTTGTGATGCAAAGAGGTGAGTATCTGTCTGATAAACATTTTCAGGTGAGGAAAATGTTAAGTTCGTACTTTAAGGTAGTTAAACACAGTCATATCAAAATTATCTGCTGCAGAAGATATTGAATGAGTCTTTACTAATACCATGTTATCTATTTTGACTCCACACTGTTAGCTAGAATTACATTTAGTGGAGTCTAAATAGGGATTTGTAGCTTGAGTATATAATGTCTATATCTCCAGTCTTGTATGCTCACCTTGTTTACCATACCTATTTGCAGGTTTTTAAATTCCCAATTTTTTATCTATCTTGTGTCTCAAACCTTAAACTTGTTTCTTTACTTTTTTGTGGCTGCATTTTCACTTTAAGCTGGCTATCTTGTTTCTGTATTTTTTATTATCTCTGTCCCCTTTTTAAATAAACAATTTTTAATAATCTGTTTCTATATTTTTTTATTTCCATCATGGACATGAATGTGTATAATAGCAATACTGTCCTATTTGGAACAGTTTAGTGTAATGAAATACGTAGTTGGTGTATGATGCTCTTTTGAGAAATAATGACAACTTTTAGATTGGCTTCATGCATGCTGGATGGCTATTGCTCCTGATATCATTGCCACAATGTTATTTTTTATAGTGGTGCTGTATGTATGATCACTATGATGCATGGTGATCAACATACGACATGTTATGTATATGCTTGTAAAATATATATAGCTATATATGGAGTGTTTAAACACTGGATTGGAAGGACTAATGAACTATACTGAAATGGTGCATGGTCTAAGTTTTGTAACTGCATAAGTTTTATACATGCATGCAAATGCAATGCACATTGGCTAGTATTTATATCTATGTACATACATGCAGGGTTTATAGTTGTTTTTTATTGTAAAGCCATATATATAGATAGCCATATGAATTTTTTAAGTTGTATAGATGCATACCTATCTTACTATAATGGATGTAGCATTATACATGTATCTGGTATGTGACTGAAATAGTAAATACAATGTTGTGCCATCTATTGAATGACACCACAAACAAAACTCCATAAAAAAATTTCACTCTTTGGGTATTCATGATTCAGACAATTAGAAAAATAACTATGGTATGTGCAACAACCATTTCTTTATCATGGAACACAATTTTAAATTAAAGTGCTCTCCTCACAACAAGAATGTGACTTTCACTAGGACTGTATGTGAGGGTTTGATTATATCTTTATTGATGTAATTTCTAAATATAGTACTAAAAAAATGGAATTTTTAAAAATAACTTTTGTTTTTTCAATAAAGGATAACACTTTTAATATATAAAAACATTACAGTTTATATCAGCACAATCCAAACACTTTTCCCATGTCATGTGTCATAATATAATAGCATATCTATACAAATAAGCCTTTTTAATGTATTTCTTATAATTGTTATATCTTCTCTGCTGGCCAAAGTGAGGCTGGTCATAGTTTTGGTGCAGCTTGCAGATTTCCTCTTAGAGTGACATTCTGCACATTCTACAAGGTCAAAAATGTGTTAATTAACAATTATGGGCTGATTATATTAATATACCCCCCCCCCCTCCATTTCTGATGAAGGTTGGGTCGTGACACTTCTACGACCCTCTTCTACTATGATGATCCTAAACTCTGGTGAGCCATCACTGCTGCATACTTTATCTGAAACTATTTTCTAAATAAAATATACAGCTACAAATTTTCTGCCTCACTTTTACCTAAAATTACCATAATTTTCTCCATTTTCTGCTTACATGATTTTTGCCACGCCTTATAGTCAACGTTAACGGTGACTACTCTATCTGCAGTGTGGGCTATAATTCGACACTTAGGATCGGCAATCACCATGATTGCTGATCCGATGCTCAAAACTGAGCTTGATGCTATCTTTTAAACTACGGCTTAAAGATATCTGTTGAGGGAGACAATCTGATACAGATCATGATAATTTATTGTACTATTGACTATTTGAAGCGTGTTAGTTCGAAATGTAAAAATTTAAGCTGCAACTGGAGATTGTCATGGAGATTTGTTTGAGAATATAGAGAACATTTATAGTTTCTGTGTAACTAAATTCTCTATGTATAATGCATAGCAATGGGCAAATATACGCCTAGACTAAGACCCAACCCCCACTAAGCGCGTATAAAAGTTTACTAGTAGAAAAACAGCCTTTTCAAATAAAACATATGTCTAAAACATCGCTTTATATAATTCTTTGTGTCTTTTAAAGTAATTATTGTATGAATGTATGTAATAAAATGTAATATTATGTGTATTGATTTTTTTTTACTCCTTCACTTCATACATAATATAGGGGTTGGTCCATAAAGACACCAATTGTATAGTGTACAAAGTATTGAGTATCTACATGGTACAGTCACCTAATGTTCATCTATTATTGGCTAGTAATTCCTGTTTCACCCTGTACTTAAGCTTCTTCGAGGAACACCAGATATGTGTAAGAAAACTAATTTGTTTGCACTAGAATTATGACTTTTTAGCTTATGAAAAACATAGAATTAATTCAAAAAGTACCCTATGCAATGTGCAATGATCCATTTGGTAATATTGCCTAAGTTTGATTGTAATACTAGCACCAATTTTTGCTGTAGGCTGGTGAAACAATGAAAATAATAAAAAGAACAAATGGGCAATCCTTATTATGAACTACTACTGTGGTTCTTGATACATACCCACCTCATAAGTAATCTACCTCTCCATTCCACTGCTTAGAAATGAAGCCTTCTCTGCTTCTTCTGCATTTACGTGTAGGTCATTGTAAGTCATGCTAAGTTTATATATATTTCAACTTTGACTCTAATTAGACCCATTTTTTCTTAATAGGTTCGTCCAATCCATCAGAAAAGAACCTTAGCTTTTCTGAATCATTTTCTAATCCGAACCACTTCCTTTTTGAATCACTTTGCCACTGTTTGTGATGAAAAATTGGAGAATTTGTTGACCAGAATACAGAAGTTGGAGTCTTCCATGAGCATTCTAGAGGCTAAGGTTTGTTCTGATATCAGTTTTATTCAGTATTGTCAAATAGAAGAGAGGATATATCTGATGAAAAATATGATACTAAAATACAGCAGACTTTTTTTTACCACTGATTGAACTTAGTTTATTATTATGGTATTTTTCCTGAAGTTTATGCAATGACATTACTTGTGAGGTTTGAATAGTCTTAATCTTTTTATTTTTGTAAAATTAGAATAGAGACAGGACTAAGAAAATACCTTTGAGATATTTTAGTACTTGAATATGATACATTTAAAAGTCAGTGAGAAGTTTTAATAATTTTTAATCTTTTATTGCTGTATTTAAGGTAAAACAAGTTGTATTCCAACTAGTCATTCAGTTTGAATTATAACTAAAACAATGATTTCAGTTCATTTCATCCTCATTTTGTGGTTTATCATTTATACAGTTGGGAGCACGACAAAGTTTTGTTCAAGCTAAACTGTAATATTTATGTTAAATGTCTGTATTTAATAGATTCCCACCATATGAGAAAGCTTAACTATTAAGGACTTATATAATGCTACTGCAAATTTAACTATTAACCTATTTTATGCAGTAATAAATTGATAGACATTACATCTGAAACAAAGGCTAATAGAATAAAAAAATATTGTCATGGTTAATATTTAGCCTATATGATCACTTAGGACTTGTTATAAGTTACTATTTTTGTTTTATTGGTATATCTGATTACCTCAACCTTATGTTAAGTATATAATAAAAAAAGTTTAAGGTGGAACTTCACAAACTGAAAAGCATTATTTTATTGTTATGCAAACAATTTATATTTTGATTAATTACAAGTAATAGTTCTTATGCAATTCTTTAACAATAGTCATTGTTGAATATTTGGGTTTGTGTAATCTTCTGTAGCTTGCATCAATACCTGGTCTAGAGAATGTCACTGCATGTACACAACCAGTAGAAAACCAAAATATTGAAACCCCTGTTCTGCAGCCTCCAGTTGAGGCTCCAGCTGAAGAACCTATAGCAATGACAGAAAAAACTGTTCAGCCAGAAAAACCAGTTATGACCATTTCTCAGGATCCAAGGTTTGCCAAGTACTTCAAGATGTTAAATTTGGTGAGTTTGTAAGCTAGACATTTATCAAATATACTTTTGAACAAGAAAAAATATGTATTCCCTGTGGTTTAACTTATATAGAACAATTTTGTAATGAGAGCTAATATCTTCAAAATAATGTGTATATAACTGTACTTTAGTTGTTGAGTGTCAAAAAGTTGTAAATGCTAGTTCATAACTCCAATGGTGTGAATTTGTTTTGTATTTAAAACTGTACACATGTAGCTAAGTATTACCTACTCAGTTTCTAAAAAATATATAAACCAAAAATCAAAACTGTGATTAGAAATAAAATATTTGTATCATTATTGCAAGATATTTGGGAGTATCAATTTTTACTTAACAAATTCATGCTACTTTGTTTTGTAAAAGTACTTCAATACACTTATCAATTGTCTTGTTTTGTTTTTTTTTATCTGAAAGAGGAGTTCCTATTAACCTCAATATCTGATCATTACTTTGAATTTATATGCAATTTTTATGTGCTTATTCTGCAACTTTACTGCAATAGTTATTTATTTTATAGGGTGTTCCTGTTGCTGCTGTCAAGCACAAGATTTTTATGGAGGGACTGGATCCAAATATTTTAGAGTAAGATATCAATACTATGTCTATACATTTGAAAAAAATGCCTCACCTGAGGATATAAATATAACTTAATTTGATATGAAAAAAAATCTTCAGAATAAACATTGTATTGAATTTTTATGTTTTAGAATTTCTTTACAAAACTTGTTTTCATTGTTCCTTTCTTTATACTTCATCTAATTATATGTTTGATATTAGGATATTGTCATGAAATGAAAAACTAATATTATTTAGTACTGACCAAATTCCAACATGTTTGGCCACTGAAAAAACATGGAAAAGAGCTATATACTGTAAGTTTTATTAGTTTTGGGTAACAATGTAATAAATATTATTTTATAATCTGAATTTAATTGCTAACACATTCTCTACTGGGATCAGGTTTCTCTCATCTGCCTGCAAGCTGTGGACCTTGCAGTCACTAGGATTCATGCCTATCCTATTCACTCTGCATGCAAAGTTTAGTGTTTGGTGACATGGCTTCCTGGGGACTGCTTATCCCTTTGGGTCACACAAATATATCTGGTCTATGCACAAGCAGAAGTATGCCACACAGGATTCTTGGCCCTGGACCTTAATGGTTGTGCTGTCCCTTTCTCTCTACTAGTATTTATATTGATGGCAGGATCAATCCGATATCACCCTCTGTGTTCCATTGCCTCCACCCAACCAGTCATACAGCTCTTTAACTATGCTTCCTCCTCTTATTGGGGTGCATCTCTGAACACCAATTTTATATCTGACAAATAGACCTCGGATGAGTCCTCTTTCCATATCCATGAGCTAGAACGTCCAGTAGACACTGTTTGGCAAGATCACATTATTATCCCTCTTAGTGGATAATTTCGTTACGTTCCTTTCCAACAACTCCTTAGCTTTCCTCGATTAACCCTATCGTTACGGGTCATGGGTCAAAAGCCATGTTATCGCGTTTGTTGGCTTGCATTGAAAATTTTATTGAACTACTATTTTATGAATGTATTTCAGTAAGATTGGTATCAAATTGTAGATTATCCATTTGTTAATTTCTTAATTTGAAAGTAAGTATTAAAACAGAAATCCTAAATATCAATTTTTGTGCCACATGGTATATTGAATGCAGCATTGGTTCAAATTAGATGTTTGTGATGTACAAATACAAAGTCTGTAGTTTCTTATGAATTAGGAACTCAAATTACTGATATTCACAATCTAGAATCTAAAATAAGAACTTCCTATCTTTTCTATTTGCCAAGATATAATTACATTTTCCGAATCAAGCACAGTAGCCCCACCCACCTCTTTTCATTTTTGGAAATGCTTACATACACCTACTTCTGTCTATAACATGTTAATAACCAATCAAAAGCTCAGAATGTACTCCTAGTGGCTTTCTCAGCCAATTTGAATTATTCAGGCAGCAAGTTCTTTCTTTTTATGTTAGAATCCAAGTTGCAAGGTAAGACTTTAGTGAGCTCGAAATTGCATATGTTTTTTAGACCTAAATACAGCTTAGTTACTAAGCTTGATAAATTATAATGGAGTTCTATGGTATTAATATAGTAATTTATGATTTCTGGTTATTTCAAAATGTATATATAAAACCTAAAAATAATTATTTTGTTTCACATCCTCAACATGCGAAATTTGATAAGGCTTAGCAACCTACAGCAAGCAGCAAATGAGTACAAAGTTTGTAACTAAAAGAGATAATTGTATGCTGTAATCTTTACTTACTGTTCTATGTTTCAAGAAAAATAAATTTAAGAACATATTTGTAAATAGTAATAATATATATATACATTTATAATGTATTATAACTGAAATGTGACTGTATTTTACAAAATACTAGTCCACTAAAACACACCCAAGACAGTTCACTTTGTAAAGGCCAGTTTTGTATTCTTCAATACAGTAACATGAGTACACATGTGCCACATCATTGCAACTTCTGTAATGTTAGCCAGGCATGGCTGAAAGGTCAATATAATGAAAATAATATATATATATATATATAAATCTATAATGTTATGAGATTTAAGCTATTTAGACTAAACTTTTGTGTTTTCGTGTTATAATTTGTAATCATTCTAGAACAAAAAAACAGCATAATTTATATTTATTTCTTAATTTTTTACGGTGGTTACAAGGTCAGTCAAATTAACCCAATCTATACGGTAGTGAAAACAACAGATAAAATATAAAGTTTTTTCTAAAAAAAACATTTAATAATTATCTGGAGGTTATGAAGATTTTGCATGTGAAATTTGAAAATGTTCTGATGCATAAAAGTATTTTTAATCTTAAAATCAAAATTACTTTAGATAGTCAAAATTTGAAAAGAAAAAAACACAATAAAAACATTACTTAAGAAATCTTAAAAC